TCTCGATGCCGACGCTTTCATGCCACGTGACACATTCCCTCACATTACAATTTCGACCACACCTTGCACAACATGGCACCTTCATCCAAAGACCCAAGGGACGACTCGCTCTCAGTGTCATTCACCCTCCCAAAGTCATGGGCAACGGCTTCTGGTATATTGTTTTCCATTCCACGTTCGTTCGTCGACTGACACCGCAATCACAGACAATGCCTCCTCGTCTGCCATGCTGCTCTCAGGAGTCGCAATGATCACCCGCAACCAGTAAGAACAATATTCTTACTGCCCCACCAAAAGACTAGAGCTGACACCGCCCTTGCCAAGACTCTTTGTTTGGCCTGCGCTCTTCATGTCGGTCTCTGCGTACCTCAACCAGCAGCCACTCAGGCTCAAGGACGGAGGAATGGGCTTCACCGCTATTCTGTACGTCACCCTTCTTTGCTCCTCCATCATCCAGCGATTCCTCACCTGTTTATCGTCCTGCTTAGCGCTGCAGTTGGTTGTCTCATCACGGTGTCCCTGCCGAGATTCATCATACAACCAGACTCTGTACCAGCACCACTGGGTGCACAAGCTGTTCCACCATCGTGAACGCCATTGTATTCCGTCAATATTATTCCTTTCCTACTCGCGGTTGCTTTCCCAAAGCCTTTTGGCCAGAGCTGCCTCTCTCAAAAAATATCGTTATGCATACCAACGATTCACTCATTCCTGGTCTGCTAAAAGATGTGTACTTTGCGGCATCATCTTCCTATATCCTTGTCACTGCAGGATATCCGGATGCGAGTGCCAAAAGTCATCCCCGATAACGTCGCAATGCATCACACTCAGAACCCATTCTCTTTTTCTCATCGCCATCTTTTCTGCTTTCTTTGCTTCCTTCTTTTCTCGCCGATGTTGAATTTTCTGCGCTGTGATATCCTTCTCCCCAACATCTGTATCGGGTGTCCCTTGATCGAAGGAACCGCCTGCTTCAACATCGCTCTGAGCCGATGAGCCAGAGGCCTCGTTGGGTTTCTCGACCGGTTTCTGCGAAACATAGCTTGCGCTTAGCAGAGCGAGCGACCGCTTGGATGTCTCAGATTTACGTGCCTGGACCTTCACGACTACGCTTCCCTTCCGAAACCTTGCATCCACCGAATTATAGTTTATGCCAAATTGAGAATGGAGAATCTCGTTTTTATCGGCTGACACAGTACCCTATATGAAAATGTTCAGGTTCAGCCGCGAGAAAACATAAGGACTGGGACGATGGCAAGATACATTCAGCTTTTGGTGCGCCTCCGAAGTTGACATTCCTCCTTGCTGAACCAGCGCCCAAAATGCCGTATTGTACAGGTTGTTGATGTGGGCTGCACAGTAAGACCTTAGTCGCTTCAGAATCGAGATAGCAAACCACACCTACTATCGGCCTGCCTCCAAGCGAAATAATCTTTAACCTCCTTCTCGCTGGGATAGACAACGAGTCTCGCGTCAAACGTTGGGGGATACTGCAGCATCTTGTCAGGAAAGTATCGCGACCAGTTAAACACATAGGACGATGTAAAGTGGGACACCACGGTGCTCATAATCTTGCTTCCCTGCCACGTTTAAGCACTCAGATCGTCACTTTGGCGTAGAAAAATTACCTTTCTCGACGATTAAAAAGAGTGGCAGTCTTTCTAAAGAGGAAACTAAGAGATTTATCAATCGAAAAATAGCCCTTGGTACCGTAGCTTCTGGAACGCATTACCTATATTCGTCACTCTCTCCAAAACCGAGCACTGCATCAGGGAGAGCTCTCATAACGTCCTCAGCCGCGTTGTCCATGAGTTGCAGGGCGCTCAGGTCGTTTGGTTTGACGAAAGCATGGACGTCGGAGAACCTACAAAACGGAAGGTGAGTTAGCTTGAAACCAAAATAATAATAATGAGGACTAGATAATATATGGAATTGTAGGATGGAGTAATATCCGCCGCAACGCAAACCGTTGAGAATCGAGGCTAGCTTGCAGAAATCTCACCGATGGAAGGATTGCCCATCAATGCGGACTACAAAATATGTATTCGGCAATATTGGATCCGGTAGCTCATACGTTTTGACATAAGCAAAACGGGTAGCGGCCATTCCTCCTGAAGCTGAATTTGACTAGGTGATAGGGGTTGGATGATATAACTCGTTCTCGCGGTTCTACCTCGAGATCCTGTCGAAGGCCCCCAAACTGGCGAATACGTGCCATCCCAACAATGGAGCAGGTTACTCAGATGGCAGTGTGTGATTGAGGAAGTTTTTTACCGATCTTGGGAGTTGCCGTGATTTGAGAGCCAACGGGGCTGGTGAGGCTTTCAAGTCGCACAAGCGTGGTCGATTGACTAATTCGATCACTTCTTGCGCGTGGATTCAGTCTTGATGAGCACTCGGAAAAGTCTAAGGAGGAGTTGTACAGTGCGGTTAAGGGGCAACGAATGCGATTGACAGCCACCCGGTGACCCGGTGACGCCAGTCCACATCAGCGAGGTTTCGAAGCACAACAAGTCTATACCGAATACATACTTGAGCTTCTTTCCGTGGGCTCCCGTCGACGGTTCGCCTACTGCTCGCCTACCGTGCCTGCCCTTCTGGTAAAAGGCCATTGGACCTTGTTAAGAGACTTCGCCCGACGTGGTAGCATAACGCGCCATTCAGAGCTATATCGACCCTATTTTGGGTGGGTCGTGGTGGGTCATGGTGTGGGGGTGTCATGCATCGTGGAGGCAGATGAAGGCGGATACAATGGTGGCAACGATGGTCATGCTGAATGCGCGATCGGGGACGTGGTCCGTGCATTGGACATTCAGTCGAAGGATCGCTGGACATGCCAGCACTGTGACACACTATTTCCCAATGCTGTTAAGCAATTTTGAAATTTGCGCTGGGTCCCTTCGCTCCAAAACAGAGGGAACGTCCTGAAGGGCGACTGCAGCTCGGCTTTTCGAGACAGGTGTATTGTGGAATCGGTTAATGTGATCGTGAGGGGTCTGAAATCAAACCAGCAGGGCTTCTCGCACACACACGCACGAATGCTGCTCCGTAGTGGCATGGACTGACGATGTCTGGTGGACGCGTTCACCAGTTTTCAACGAACGCCTCATCTCAATCGACGCGCCACGCAATACACTGCAGCATGTATCGAGCTACAATGGAGCCAAGAACAGGAGACACGCGTTGCAGACACGTCAAGTATTTCTCGATGAAATTTATTAGGGCAACCGGATTAAGAGCGGGGTCGGAGTGCGTGTCGACAGTGCCGTGGCAACAAAGCATCCGGTCTTCGCGCTAACTCGAAAAGGATAGATGCCATCGAGTATCAAGGAGTGCGATTATTGCCATCCAGCACGCTTGGGGGCTCGGGCTCGGTCCAGATTCTAACGAGGCCCCGTCTGACACGTACCGGGCCCAGGTCTTGGAAAGGGAACACCGACCCGCCACTTTTGGTACTTTTGTCATCAAATAGGTATAATAATGAGATTGTTTGCGACCGAGCCCCCAGTTAGTCCATTACGACATCGCCCCAGGTGGGTAGCCTGTATTTCTACAGGCCCCGGCACCCGGGAATGGCACGATGCAATGAACTGTATAGTCGCAACGAGACAAAAACGGCTAGTTCACATACATCAGAATCACGGTTAAAGCCCAGTCGGAGAGAACGAGGCCACAACACGTTTTGATCAGGTTTCGGGCGCTGGAGAAAGAGCCTGACGTGGGGAGGAACCAAGTCCAGGAACGCATAGGACACCGAGCAAAAATGAGGCTGTCTGATTCGACTGCTAAGCTGTGCTTCCGTATGTTGGGTGGTTGCGATTGCAACGCAGGACCAGAAAGAACCGTCCTGACACTTAGAGGGGGGTGTTGAACGCGAGATGAGGGAAGACCGGCTCACCTGGCTATATAAAAGATATGAAAGGACTAAGCTTCTACTTTAGATTTGCATCGTTCCAAGCTTCATCATCTTCCCCCCTCCCCCTCTGCCTAGAACCAGATATCATCAACTACGCTTCTTCACCTACTTCTCGCATCGAACGCATCCACGACGCACGGAATGACGCACAAGGAACCAGAGTGCCCGTGAGTCGAGACTTAGCGCGTCCACAAGGCCGAATCGCCAGCTGACTTCGGGCCACAAGATACGACTTTGTCGAGGAAGTTCGAGGACGGCCTTCGCACCCTGTCCAGCCGGTACCTGCCCCTCCTCAAGAGGAAGAGCAAGGCCAGGGAGGAAAAGTGAGTAACGTGGAGCGAGCCCTGAAGATTGCTGGCTGACCTGGAGTGTTCAGCCAGCTGAGGACCCGTGAAACTAGCGTCTCTCAACACATTACTTTCGACCTGAGCGATGATACGGACGAGCCTTGGGATATATCCCGAGTTCCTGGTTCCCTGTTCCGCGTCTTCGATTTTTTTTCATATCACTGTACCCCTGGCTGGACCTTTACTATCTGGTATAGTCCTGGTGAGGTTCGAGGGTTCCAGTCGTTTCATTTTACTGAGTTGCATTCGTGTGGTCCCTGTTCATCCGCCTCTGTTCAACTATATTGTTCTGTCTTCCTTGCGTTGAAGACCTGTGGCCGAGTTGCTGAGACTACTTTCTCCAAGGAGAGAGCGGGAAACAGTGAAAGATTTTTGAGAGTGTGAGCGTGCTGAACGCGCTGGTCTTGGAAACGTCAGTCAGATTACAAACTCCGCGTCGCGTGCGAATTTCTGTCTTGTACATGCCGCAGACCCCGTCACTAGATTGAATAATGATACGATGGCACTAGACTAGTGCTTATGCAACGCGAACAACAATCTTTGGTGGAGAGATTGGAGGGCCTGCTATCTGCCCCAACTTAGCTTTCGCAATATGTTGTTGCCAACTGACTGTAAGGTCACCAGGGCGGTAGGTGGCGGAGGTGGCGGAGGTGGCAGCATCGGGACTGCAAAGCAGAGAATGACAGGAACTCAATGTCGTTTTCCAGGGAACAGTTAAAAATAAAAGGAACAAAAATTGACCGCGGGGTGAATCGAACACCCGTCTTCTCGGGGCAACTCACTGAAGGGTACAAACCACAACGAGATGCTCTAACCACTAAGCGACGCAGTCGACATTTTGTAATCACTGCCTAAATTTATATAAAGTCGTGCCCCCGCCTATGGATACACCCAATCATGCATAGCCCCCCAACGTGCATAGAAATCCCATCCACCATGTCGGTAGCTAGTAAATTTGTATGTAGCTATGCAAACTCTGTCAAATTGCATAATGCATAACGGATCGGCGAATTTTTACTGGGATTATGCACTTTCAGGGATGACAGAAAGGGTCCAAAATCGACATAACAAAGCCACATCATTCATTTTTGGACCGTCGTACCTCTTCTGTCTATCCGAAAATGGCCATGCAAGGCTCTAACAGAAAACCGACTGGAAGGCGGCCTCTCACAGCAGTGATAGATCCAGAATCCGATCCTCAACAGGTCAACACAACCACTAGCGACAAAATCGTGATCCTAGACTACATCCAAGACCACCTGGACCTGAGCCAAACAAATGATACCAAGGAGCAAAAGAAGGTCACTGATTACTTTATAGAATGGCCTCCTAGCCCCTAGTTACATGTATCTCACTCGAGCTATTTAGTTCTTCGGTTATGCATAGCCCCCACTGGTCTCGCATGGCAGATTCCGTCCACCGACCCCATGCAAAATTGGGGGCACGACTGTAGTATATATATTTTATTTCATGTATCACCATCAAATAATCGGACTAACCCTATGCTCCCAGATGGTCCCTTCCCTCGTTGTCAGAAGCTTTACACTACGTCGTTCTGAGCAGTAAGACTCGAATAATCATTGAGGCTCGCCCGGCACTCGAACCGAAGGGACCTCTTACCCCATCGCAGCAAGGCAAAAGCTCGATCCGAGGCTTTACAGGGAGTGGCACGGTCAAAGACATACACAGCAGGCGTAGCTCTGGCGCCAGTGGGGACCACTGTGACGTAAGACGTTATCACCCACTTGAAATGGATCAGCAATCATCCCGGAGCATCAATTGAAACGGTTCTACCGTGTCGAACCAAATAAAAGGCCTGAAGGATCCTCAAAACTGTGATAATAGAGCTGTGAATATGGACTCTCAGTGAGGGTAATGCTCGTGGGGTTGAGCGCCAAGAGCGACTTGGGCGGCGAGGACGCGGGTAAGTGATCTCGACGACCAAATCGCTGCCAGCCTCTATCTTGAAATGGTAGTTTTTGGGGCGTTATGTTCGATTGGTTACTCTGAAGCTGACAGTTTCAATGTCGAAACTTCGCAACAAAGCTATCCCACCGATAGATGCGGAAGGCGTTTGTTTCTCTACGTCGATGGTCACAATATTGTACCCCTCGGGAAGAACAGTGCTGGAAGAGGAGATATCCAAAGGGGATCTGAATTTGAACGAAGATAAACTATATGCGAAGATAAACCACGGCCGGGAGAAACTTCTGAGATTGGAAACTGCCGGCCCCTTCGCCATGATAATACATAACTGGGGCCCGCCGAACCCGTGAACGAGCAAATCCAAGGATTCTGACCCGACATTGCAAGGATATCACTTCGC